AAGGGGCACTAAGGAATCTACTCCTGAAATCATTGTTGCACTAGATGCTAACTAATTTGGATGTAAATGTTAAAAAATAAAATTAAAAAGAAAGAAAGAAAGAAAGAAAGAAAACGTGTCAAATGCCTGGCACTTCGTGAGTCTTCAGTGAACTATGCCCAACAGTACAGCAGACTTCTGGAAAGCCCTGGGTATGGAGGCACGCAGAGGGGAGGCTAGGACATACTCACTTGTCTGCAACTTAAGCAGGCTGAACTCCTTGGGATATTTATCCTTGGGGACTTCAGGGAATGAGGTTTCAGAGGACTGATCAGAATGTGCGGAGGAGGATTTCAGATCCAAATCTGTAGCAGAGCTGGAAAGGAGGCAGAAGGATTAGAATCTTCTATGTGTTTAAATTGGTAGTTAGAATCTGATTTTATATATCTTACGCTAGAATTACGCTCACGTGCGTCAACTAAGCCTACCCCTCCATAAACGTCCATAACATATCGTTTACTTACTTACAATTTGAGGGGGCTGAAACAGAGCCCAAAGGTGCGTCCTTAAAAACAGTGTGGTGGTTCCTCAAAAAGTTAAATATAGAATTACCATATAACCCAGCAACTCCACTCCTAGGCACATACCCCAAAGAATGGAAAACAGGGACTTAGACACTTGTAAACGGATGTTCTTCGCAGTGTGACTCACGTTAGCCATGCAGTGGAAACCACCCAAATGTTCACTGACAGATGAATGGATGAGCAAAATGTAGCGCTGACATACAATGGAATATGATTCAGCCATAGAACGGAAAAAAGTTCTGATACATGCTACGACACGAATGAAACTTGAAATATTGTGTTAAATGAACTAGGCCAAACACAAAAGGACAAGTATTATATGACTCTACTTCCACAAAATATCTAAACAGGTAAATTCAGAGAGACAGAAAGTAGATTAGGTTAGTGGATTAGGGTGGATTAGAGTACCGAGGTCTGGGAGAAATTATCGCCTAACAGGTACAGCATTTCTGTTTGGGCTGATGAAAATGTTTAAAAAATAGCAGTGACGGCTGCACAACACGGAAAGGTAATTAATGCCAATGGGTAAAAGTGGATAAAATGGCAAATGTTATGTGAATATATATTTCACCCTAATTTTTTTTAAAAAAGGAATGATGGGGCGCCTGGGTGGCGCAGTCGGTTAAGCGTCCGACTTCAGCCAGGTCACGATCTCACGGTCCGGGAGTTCGAGCCCCGCGTCGGGCTCTGGGCTGATGGCTCAGAGTCTGGAGCCTGTTTCCGATTCTGTGTCTCCCTCTCTCTCTGC